ACCAAAAACAAAAAAAAAAAAAAAACCAATGAACTTTATGACCAATTTAAATATTTTTTAAGGATTGTAAATTTTATTGTGTTCAAGCGAGATCTATGGTCTTGGTTGGCCGTAACTCAAGATATTATTATTATTATTAAATAGTTTATACTATAATACAAAACTAAAAAAATATTAAGATAGGCAATTATTAGTGCAGACTCAAACACAGACAACTGACATATAAATCTCATGGTGACAAACACATTTAACTAAAACATAGTCTCTTATATTTATGTGTACATTAAAAAAGGGTAGATATATGAAAATATTACTAACTGAGTAGATATGTAAATTAAAAAAAAAACAATATAAAAATGAATAAGAGTCAAATGACCTCTCACTCATTGAAATATGTTCAGTCATTTAAGTTTTGCATCCTCAATAGTCAGTAATCGTTAAAAATTTGACATTATAACCCAAAAAACTTCACCCTTCTTCATTCAGTCGGTTAATAAATGACGAAATACATGTTAGTAACTATAATAAACATTGTAACTCATGCTAAGAAGTGGGGGAGAACTGTAAAACTTTCTAATACACATACAGACTTCTAAACTTAATAAATATGACAATACCAACAACTTAGACAAAAAGTAAAAATAGAAAATATATGTTACAAGCAGGTAAACGACCAAGGAAGCAGAAAACGATAAGAGGAAATTTATTTATCTTAAAAAGAGGTCAATGGAGATGTCAGCTAAGAATTACGTACTTGTTTATTAAATGAATACGGTTTACCTTAAATTATTTAAAATATACACGTTGTCCATTGCAAACACTTCTGAACCATAAGTGCACCAAAGAATCTTAATACAAGTAATTATTACAATGAAATGTATTAAAATAAATTGTGGAGACAATGTTTATGTACAAATTGGTTTTTGTGTTTGACACACAAATGTCAAATGTCAACTATTGTGAAAAGTATCAAAGAGCAAATATGGAAAGGTTTGCTTTGTGGTTCAGTCGATTCATAGATATGCACAGGTTTGCAACAGATATATTCTTTTTCTTCAAAGTATGAGATTCTCTTCAAAAAACCAATAAAATTCTTAACTTGAATAACTTTACAAATACATTGCATGGCAGAAATACAAAATGAGGAAATTCAAAATTAAATCTCCGCATTGCCCTCGCTACTTAATCTTTGGTTATTTAATAACGTCAATGTCAATTATACGTCAAAGTTTCCACAATAAAATTGTCAAATCTTAATCAAACAAAAGTACAATACCGTATTACGTATTTACGTAAAAAATGTTTTAATTTCAATCCGTAATGATTTGGTGTCGAAGTCCATTATCGCATTATCACTTGGTATAATGAAGCAATAGATAACGAGCGGTTATAAAATGGAGAGCGTTACAGTAATCAAACTTTGGCCGTGTCTTTGTTAGTCGTGTATATTTTTACAGCTGTTATAACAATGTTTTCATTATTTCAGAATTTTTCTGTATCGCTTATAAAAGGATTCATAGACAGCTTACGTGGTGTGACTGTGCTTTTATACCTTGACAAAGAAATAAATGAGCGAGCCTTAAGCAGATCACCAAAAATAGACTCCGAAAACAGCAAAAACAAACTAAAGCAAACAAAAATTAAACAGTAAGTTACTTCCCTTGACATAATTCAAGATAAAACGCGCTAAGGTCTGTTCAAAAATCATGTGTGCGTTTTTTTTTATGTACATCTATACTAGTATTACAAAGAGGAAAGATTTGTATTTTTATATGTATTGATATAACTCAAAAACTACTGGGCCGATTTCAAAAATACTTTCACCATTAGAAAGGAAATTTATCTGTGAGTAACATACACTATATTTTATTATTACTTATGTTTAGGAACTATTAATAAACAGCATGTTTCTGGACACCGGTGTTAAAAATTCAATAAAGTTTAACTTTTCTAGACTTACACTGCCAAAATTTATTATACTTGTATTTTGCCATTCATGATTTCTTCATATTTATCAGTTAACTTGCCTCTGTATGTATTTTACGTTTTTTTTAATTCAGTTATATATTAAATATTATGCAGTTTTTTGCACAAATTTTCTAGAAAGAAAATGTTTTTGTTTTAAACAATCAGTGTAGTATGTATTAAAATTACAGCATTGTTATTGTACCAACCTTGTTATTTGCATAAAACAAGGTGAATTGTAATAACAAAGTCAGGCTAGGTTTTTACATAGACTAATGTATATACATGCTGATTTTTTTAACTTCATAAAATACAAAGACTAGGTTACCTAAGGTCTAGTCGCCCCTTAATCTGAGTAGGCTATAAAGTCCTAACTCTGAAATAAATCTCAAATACTGACTCTTAAGCACTAATTACAATTTCACAGATGTTAAGTTTTTAATGGAATTTGGAGTTTGTGTTATCATTTAAAACACTTAGATATTCCAATATCTGTCTGTAATTCTTTTGGTGGGGACATATTTGAGATTAGCTGTTGCTACCGGCTTTGTTCATGTGAAATTTAAAAATATAGCCTGTTACTCATTGATAATTCAGTTTTTAATGCTGAAGGAATTTTTGAAATCTGTCCAGTTTTTTGAGTTATATCAATACATACAAAAATACATAAACACAAATCTTTCCTCTTTGTAATATTAATATAGATGACAACTATAGTATATTATGTTTATTGACTAAAAAAAACAGGTTATATATCTTGTAACTTTGTTCCAGGGAATCGAAAGTACTTACAAGGGTATTACAGTCATGTATTCTCAATGGTTTTATATTTTTACTGAGTATACTCGTGTTTGAGTATGCTCTGTTACCCGCGGTGAGATACTTAGTGTTGGCAGTATTCGGACATGACCCGGGAGTGGCACATAACGTCTGGGGCTGGATGCAGCCTTTCCTCTCCATGACTTTTAGGATGATATGGGTGCTACCACTGTTTCTGTTGAGCAAGCTAGTAAATGCACTGTGGTTTCAAGTGAGTTATTCATAATTCATGTGTTATTTTTAATAATACGCTAAAATTACAGTATTTATAACACTGAACTACAGCATTATATTAATTTATAAGAAATCAATTAGAAACTTATTTACTCTAATGACAGTAAAGATAGATAATCTATCAAATGTCTTTGGAAATTCAATATTTATTAAAATAAATATCCACTAATATTTTTAACTGAATAAACTCTCATAAGTTTGTCTTAATTACTTCAGATGTTAAAATACCAACTTATCCTACATATTATGGGAGATATTTGGACACTACATTTGTCTACATATCTATACTATTATAATAAAGCGTAAACACACACTTCTTTGTTGCCTAAGATGTCAGAAATTACAGCATATTTTTAATAATTACCTTTTTAATATAAAGCCCTACACTTGCGTCACGCCTTAGACTATATATTTTAACGCCATTAAACTTAGGAGGTAAATATTTTGGATACAAACCCTAATGTGGGAAAGGGACCATAAGTTGCTGCCAACATCAGGAAGCAAGGTTGTCATCATGTCATGGCATTTTGACAAATGTAAACAAGCTAAAGTTTTTATAATTCCATGCGGATGAAACTGCACGGGAACAGCTAGTTTGTCATAATTGCGAATTCATTTGTAGGATATTGCGGACTCGGCGTACAGACATCGTCGCGGGCGACCGCAGTTCATGTCCAGTGTCAGCAAGATTATTGCTGACTCACTGTTCAGTCTGCTTGTACAAGCTCTGTTTCTAGTACAGGTATGTACTTGATAATGATTATTGCACATTACTATTTAGATATTAAAAAAAAAAACTATTTATACCTTTTAATTTGATTTTTTTCTATTTAAAAGTAACATACAACTTTATCTAGTTATTACTAAACATTAAGGGCCTGTACCACCAAATTGTTAATTGTCTGATAACAATACATAATGTAAAATTTGTGATGGATATACCAGATTTTATTACCTTATTTGGCAGGGATGTCATTTTTAAGCTATCTGAACCTCTATCAGCCAGTAGTGGGACAGGCCCTAAAGTGATTAAATTAAATAATAAACTTACAGTAAAGGAAAGTCTCTTGCAGATCATTGTTTTTTTTATATATATTATTTGTTTAATATTTCAGAGTATGCTAGTCAGTATGCTCCCGATCACATACATCGGTGAACTGCTCTGCTTAGTTCACATGTGTCTGTTATATTCACTGTACTCGTTTGAATATAAATGGTTCAACATGGGCTGGGAGTTGCACAAACGCCTCACATTTATAGAAACAAACTGGCCGTACTTCTTAGGGTTCGGTTTACCATTAGCTGTGCTCACGCAGATCCCCCACTCGTATATTATTAGGTAAGTTTTAAAAAATAGCCTATGTTACTTGATAACGTAGCTTTTCAATGGTAAAAGAATTTTTGAAATCGACTCAGTAGTTTTTGAGTTAACTCAATACATACAAAAAAAAGTCTCCTATTTAGTATAGATTTTTGTTGGGTGTTTCCCGTTGGACCTATTGAATATATAGAACCAACACATCGGTCCAACGGGAAACACTTTGTTAATGATGTTGGAAAAATGTTACTCCTCATTTTATTTGATTGAAAGTCTAAATTAAATAAAGAGGAACTTCAAATTCTAATCGCAGTCATTATTTAATAAAAAATTCAGTTATTTTGTCAAAATAATATAACAAAATAAAGTGACATTGCAAAAATAAATATTTTACCATAAATATTCTAGAATTTACTAGTACCATAAATTATAGTTTGTCTATAGTTAAGTGTTTATTTTGGTATTTCCGTTGGACATTTCAAATTAGGTGTTTAAATCAACAAACAGACAAGACATAAAAAATATTTTTAACCCTTTAAAGCCTGATTTTTTTCAATCTAATTACAAAATGTGTAAGTTCCCTTTACTGTGTTTTTCACTTATGGGGAAAAATAGTAAAAAATTCAAATGTTTTTAAATATTTTTGTGATACGCTCCTTTTTGTTTTTTAATATAAAGATTATTAGTGAAAGGTAACATGTAGATATTAAAATAAAATATATTTATATCCCCAGTATAAAATTTGAAACTTCAGCTATTAATTTGTTAAATTCAATAACATATACTAATGTTTAGTTATATGGCCGTGACATGAATAAAACATATTATAATTATTTGCATAATCCATTGTGTAATCAAAGATGAATCAACGGCCAAGGTTGTTTAATTCTGATTACTGTACTTTGTTCTATCTTATCTTTAACTTACATTTGAATGAACATTTATGAGAAATTTTATCTAAGATTATTAGTAAATACAATTGTTAAGATGTTTAATTAAGAATTTCAAAATCGTTTTGAAACACAGCCAATAGATGGCGCTATTTCAACTATGTTGTCAGTTTTCAGGTTTTACAAGATTTTTCTTTTATTGGGCTTAGATAAACAATTGTATGTACAATTTAATTAGTAATTAAAATAACTAAATATAGATTCTTTTTCCAGTGGTTGTGTTTTCTCAATATTCTTCCCCGTGTTCATTTTGAGCGGGAATGAAGCTACACCCGTCATAGGAAGGTGAGTCGACCATATTTTTATTTTTTGTTTTTTTCGTATTTTCATTAATTTTAAAAGAAAATGAACAGACTTATAAATTACAAATGTTAACGGCATTTACATTAGCATTTTAAGAGTTCTTTTATTCGGGAATCATTTAAAGTCGACTTAAATGGTAAAAATACTCCTATAATTTGGAACGTTTCAATATTTAAATTAATGCAAACATGTCTGTGCTTCATAACTCTGTGATTATAGCCTTATAAAGGTAAAATTATTCAGATAGGTTCATTACAATTTCTTAATTCTATTGAATTCGACTATATTATACATTTTTATTTACTATTTTATAGTTATTTTTAAAAAACATTTTCTTTTACAGCGAATATCCTCTAAAGCTGTTCTCCCCAGTTGTAGCGATATCTAACGGAATGTTCCGCTTCGTGCGGAACACTGCGGAAGTTGAAAGAACTACGATTGATAGAAATAGCTGATAAAGTGGGAGCTTATTGGGGGAAGGGGAATACATCACACATCACATTACTAAGTAGTGCCCTTAGTAACTAATAGTTACTAAGTAGTGGCCTTAGTAACTAATGGTTACTAAGTAGTGCCCTTAGTAACTAATAGTTACTAAGTAGTGCCCTAAGTAAGTAATAGTTACTAAGTAGTGCCCTTAGTAACTGTTAAACTAATTAAATCACAATCGGTTGTTTAGTTATCACCTCTTCATACCGCATTCTTTAAGGGATTGGTATAAATTTAATGTATGAAATGGACGCTTAGGGAGTGCTATTAAACTCTGAGTATGAAATATGTCAATGCGGTAGCTTTGTAACAATATAAGCCTGTTATATAAGGTTATATCTCAGTATGAAAGATTTTTTATAAAATTGTGCTGTAATGATTAAAAGTCGATTTTAGTAAAAAAAATATTGGACTGTAAAAGCCACTCTAAAGCGGACAAAAATGACACAAAATTTAATTAAAAAAATGTAAAACTAAATACACTTTAAATCAAAAAAGATGTAATTCCTTTATCTTTTATGTTACAATGATCTCTGTATAAGTTCAAAATAGATGCGAATTTTAAAAAAAAGTGTCTTTCATACTAATGGTTGTTTTAATGCAAATTTTAAAGTAGGAAAGTAAAATTTCAAAGTACATAGAAAAGGTAGTTTTTTTATTCATTATCGCAATAGTACAGATGTTTTATTTGGGTGATATATTTTTAAGTGCTGATTTACAGGGACGTTCTAATTTAATGGTTAGTTTTGTAAACAAATGGCACTATTTCCTTTATGTAACGTATTTATTACATTAAAACGGTGCCTGAATGCTGCTTGAATTATAATCAATCAATCGTCCAAGTAATTTAAATTGAAGTAAAAGGTACCAGTTTGGATCCGACTCGAAGGACCATAGCACAGTATGTTAAAACATTTATTGGAGTTTGTTCATATAATTTGTATTTACTTGGACAATTTTATTATACGGATTATGGTCTTCGTAACCGTGGGATTATACTGTTTTTATATAGGTTTCAGTGGAAACCGAAGCGAATGTACTTTACATGTACATGAGTCGCGTATTCGTCGGAAATTGTGATTAAAAAATTTTACATGACATTATTTAATAAAAAATGACTGATTATATATATCGTTTTATTTCGTGTTTTTAACCTTCGATAGAATTTTTTTGTAGCAAAAAAAAGTTCTCTAACCTAGTTCAGTAGGTTTTTTAAATTAGTACTTCGTCACATTGGACACTATCGAATAAAGTGTTAAAAAACCCCACATTATTTCGAATTAGAAGAAAAGAGTCAAAAAAAGAAAAAACATGTTGCGAGTTCTAATTTTTATTATACATTAAGAATTAATACAATTTTTAATCCTGGTCAAATACATTGTTTGTTTTGTTAAAAATCAAATGTAAAAATCAAGCCTAAGAAAACAAATTCGTGTTTCAATAACCTAAAATTAAAGTAAAAAAAGCTTACATAGAATATCACAATTTATAGACTAAAACATAGACAATATAAACCAAAGACGCATCAAAATAGATAAAACTAGATAGGTTATATGAGATTAGTTGATTCCATGTAATAGTAAGAAAATTGATATTTTTCTATACAATTTCATTATAGTTTTTGTAAAAAGAAGCCTTCTTAATTTAAAAAAAAATATTTAGTTAGAAAAAATATTTATTTACTATGTCTACATTTTAGCCTGTTCAAAATAACATCTAAGTAAAAAAATATTATGCTTAAAAATACTTAAATGAATATATATTTTATACACCAATAGATTCACAGTTAACTTACGATCAATTTAAAAAAAAATATCGAAATTACCCGTAAAATATATATCAAGTATTTAAAACGGATGTAAGTTTATTTCAAATAGCATTACAAAGCTTAGTAAATACTACACTTTTTATTATTTTTTTTTAACGTAAATTAGGCGCTTAATTCTAATTTATGTTCACATTTACATATATGTATATTGTATATTTGTTCTACTATTCCTTAATTGAGATCTACCTTGTTCCTATTTAATTGTTAAGCATAAGAAAACAAAAAAATCCATATAAAATATTGAAGCTAAAAAAATATTTTTATGGCAAGTAAAAAACATTTGGTATAATTGACATATTTCATATGAAAAATATTGGAATGTCATATATCATTTTGAGCTTTGAGAAAAAATTATAATCTATATCTGTAGCGACCAACTTGAGATCAACATAGTGTTTGGCAAAAACATAATTTGAATGTAAATTGCCAAAAAGATGTGTAAAACATATCGTTATCTCTCTTTTTCATAGAGCATAAAAGAAAAAAATTAATATTCCATAACACATTTTACACTAAAATAATTATAAATCAATACTTTGCATTAAAACACACTAATTGTAATGAAAAATTGTTAAAAAATGATTGAAAAATCAAAACAAAAATACTATTTTCTTATTATTATGTCCGTTATTATTTTACATTTAACAGTATAGATATGTTTTAGTTACTAATCGGAAGCAATGTTACAATATTAATGACTAATTTACTATTACTAATTTTTATGTCAATCCCTCCCACTAAATACTAAGTTACCCTTAAATACAGGATATTTACATAATACATAAATGACGTAAAATTAGGTACATTTTTATCTACTATTATGCTTTGATAACTCAATTTTACAATATAGATAAATAATAAAGTAGTTAATTCATACTTTTAAAATACAACTGCAGTTATTTATTGAGTATTATTTCTACAACTTGACCGCAAAAAATAAGAGAATTTAATTTAATTTGATTTTTACCAGTAATTCTGGTATAAGATACACATCAAAATTATCTCAGTATTTTACTTACAATCATGTTTTTTTTTAATTCTGTTTAACGCTTAGAAATAGAAATTATAACAACTAATCTATTTAACTATGAATATTGTTTATTTAAAAGTAATGTTTAATTGCTGCATAATAACATTGTCATGTTTTAAATCTAATACATAAAAGGTCATGGTATATTTTAATCATAGACTTTTTAATCTTTGACATTCTGTAATCATAGATGATACAGGCCATAGACAAAATAAGTATCGACAACTTCCGTTTAATCTTTGACGTCAAAGAGTAAGTACATAATTGTATATAATTTCACGATATCTTTTAAATCATTTTTAAACTAAGGTAACAAATATATTTTTAAATAAATTATTTCCATTTGTTACCTTTATAGTAATTGAGTTTATTATGTCATGAGTAATTAGTATAGTGCAGTGATCGTCAAAATGGCATGTGGCTTGGCTAAGCGGCTTTGACTCAAATTCTCCAAGAAGCACATTGTTCGTATTAATATTTTTTTTAACTGTAGATTTTTTATATAACAAAAATTTACTAGACAAGCCTTATTTTTCCGATTTTGTTTTTAAATTGTAGTATTCATATATATGTTATGTTTGCCGACAACTAGTATATTGTTACATATATTCACGACTTACAATAGACGTACAAGCAGCATGCCGAGTGCTGCGCCCACGGTAAGGCCGACGCATAACATCGTCGCTACCACTGAAGATGCTTTCTCCCGTTCATGGATATCTACCACCCTACAAAAAACATTTTATTTGCTTCATTATTATCAAAAAATATAAAAAAAAACAATGAATAATAATAAAGGTACAAGCTAAAAAAATAAAAAATAAATAAACTACTAAAAATGGTAAATATTAGTAAACTATATAACTTATTAAAATTAATAGAGGAAAAAATCGCAATCTTACTAATATTATACACTAGCATACGCCCGCGACTCCGTTCGCGTGGAATAAAAAAAAAAACAAAAGCAACCTGTGTGTTCTTCCAGACTATCCTCTACACCTATCTAACAAACATCCATCCATCCATTTAAACTTTCGCATTTATAATATTAGTAAGATGGAAAGGATTGGATGTTTGTTAGAGTTTGTAACCTAAACTGCTGAACATGTCTCAAAAAAGGCATAGATATAGAGGATAGTCTGGAAGAACACAAGAGTTATTTTTATTTTTTTAATTCGACGCAGATGGAATCGCGTGTAAAAGCTAGTAATTATATAAACATGTACGAAGTTGTTTGTGCAATAATATTATCTTTAATTGGTTAATTGCGTACAAACTAGGAACACAGTTATCTCTGCTATTAATGTTTATTGCTCAAACACGTGTTTGAGTAGGAACAAACAAGACTTATCGCAAAGTTAAATAGAACACGTTTTCTATGTTTTTATGATCTGAAATTACGAAAAAAAACATGAAATAACAGGAAAAAATAACATTGAAATGTATTGTTTTTTTTTACATTTATAAGAGAATAGATTTCATGTTTATAACAAGTAAATTTAATAACTACATTATTCCCGAGAGATATAGGACATATTCGTTGCTATAAAATACTAGTTTTCGCCCTAGGGTCCGACCGCAAATTAAAGCAAAAGTAAATAGCCTATGTTCTCTACCAGATTATCAACATCTATGACTTTCATTAATATTCATCAGTTTAGGCTACAAACTTACGTATTCAAAATAGTAAAATATCTTACTAATATAAATGCGAAAGTTTAGATGGATGGAGGGATGCTTGTTAGAGTTTGTAACCTAGTTAAACGGATCACGATGAAATTTGTCAAACATGTAGAATAGCCTGAAAGAACACATAGGCCATTTTTATTTTTATTTTATTACAAACAGACGGAATCCCGGGCGAAAGCTAGTTAAAAGCGAAAATCTAGTTAACAGTATCTTTGATGAAGATTTTCCTGGAAAAAAGCTAAAAAAAAATGGGGTATGTATTACCTTGTGGCGTTGATCATGACGATGTTGGTGAGGTACCCGTTGGAGAAGGAGAAGAGTATCATGATGAGGATGTACTGGTAGTCGCGGGGGAAGAGCACGGGTAGGCGGCGGCGCGGCTGCGCGTTGCACACCATCAGCAGCGGCACGCCCGCCGCGCGCAGCACGCTGCACAGACCTATCACCCACTGCTTGCTAGGCTACAAATATCAAACAATCTATCAAATATCCATTTTTTTATATAATACGAGGTGGCAAACGAGCAAGCGGCCTCAATCCACCGAAATGAAAAGCGACTGCACATATACATCCGCAATTGCAGATGCGTTGCCTACCCTAATTGACGGAGGACACACATAAAGAGGACATTTCCCCTTCCTATGCATCTCCACCGTCAAATCCACTTTTTCCTCCCATCCTTTCCTCTTAAGAAAAGGGTGGAAAGGAAAAGGGACTAAAATGAGGCCTCCGGCACCACACTCATCAGACTGTACGCGGAATTGCTTCCACTTCACGCCTGTTTTCTGTGTGGTCGTGGTATTACTGGGGGCGTGCCCTGCACTGCTAACTTGTTAAAGCGGGCACTACCACTGTTAAATCAATCAATTAATCAATAAGGAAGTATGTCTAAAACAAATTGATGTAAAATCAAACGTTACTTTAGTAACTACTAACTGTCTCTGCTTTTTGCGCATGAAATTATAAAAACTCTATTTTCTTGTTTAAATCTATACATACAATAAAATTTGTGTGTCTGTTTGTCATATTAAAAGAAAAATTCCAGATTTCAGGAATATAATGCATTTGCATTGCTGATAACATAAAAAAACATTAAAAAACTTTTTGTCTGTCTGTCCGCAAGCCTGTTGTTCCAAATTCTGACTTTCACTGTAGGGTAGTTGACATAGACGGGCTACTTTTTTTTTTTAAATTCCGCGCGGTCAAAATGGCGACCGGACCGCTATCTTTGGAATGGCTGGACCGATTTGGACGAGTCTTTGACTGGAAGGTAGCTGGTAGAAGATATATGCACTTACCCTTAGCAGAAATCCAGCAGCCAGACGACCGGAATAATCACCGCAGTTGAATATAAGATAATTCACCACAGGAACGAAGAATATGTCTGAAAAACATTACAATGACTGAATATTTATAACAAAAAAAAAAACACTTTTATACAGTAAACTGCATAAGTAAACATTTACAAAACTATAGAAACTTGTATATTCAATTTCAAAAATATTTATGCACTAGCTTTCGCCTGCAAATCCGTCCACGTAGGTTTAAAAAAAAATTAGGTACACTAAGTGTAAGAACACTACAAGAGCAGACTATTTTATATCTATGACAGATTCATTAAGACCCATTAAACCGTTAAGGCTAAAAAAACAGCTATCCAAAGTGGTGTTTAGTAAGATAATATCCACCCTATTTCTGACCTAGAATTTATTCCATTGACTGTACTGGTAAAAAAATATACTTACTATTCCAATCAGTTCCTTTAGTATCAGGATGAGATTCAACAAGCACTGTAACGGCCGGGTACACCGCCATACTGATCGCGAACACAGCAAATATACTGAACGCGTACACCCAGATTTTCTTCATAATTAGAACCATAGACACATCTCTATGTCTATTAGGACCCAATCCACTTCCGCGCAATATATGATGCGTGAAAAAATCTATCTTATACAACAAAGCGTAAGAAATTAGAGAAGTTACAACCATTATATCGGCGATTATGAAATAAATCAACGCACTATGTAAGGGGGATATTTTGAAAGCTAGTGATATAATTTGAGCGATGGCTGCGATAATTCCGCCTAAAGATTGTCCGGCGACGACAGCCGCCATATATTCCTTGGAGAATTTACTGGCGATACCTACTAGACCACCAGTAAATACTGCGCTTGCAGCTGGAAAGAAACATGATTTTTTTAGTAAAAATTTTAGGTTCAAATGCATGACAAATACGTATTTATCCTGGTATTATAAAAAGGAAAGATTCGTATTTTTGTATGTATATAACGCAAAAACTATGGGGCCGATTTCGAATATTATTTCACTAATAAATACGTTATCACTGAATATAGGCTACATTTATATATAAATTTTATTTTCGCGTGGACAAAGACGCGAGAAACAATTAGTTTATAATAATTAATTATTAGTTACTGAATTTAAAAAAACAATAAAGTATAGTGTGTACTTTCAGACTATTGTCTATGCCTAATCTCATCAAGATCTGTTCAAACATCCATCCATTCAAATTTTTGCATTTACAATACTAATAAAATAATTGTGATTTAAATAAAGAGGTAAAAACAAATACGTTTATACCGATTTAGTTATACAAATATTTTTCAAGGAATTTTTCCTTCCGGGAACTAATAAAATTAGGAAAATAAAAAAAAAGCATTTAAATTGTGATAAACATAAAACATTATAGTAGCCGTTGCTTGCGTTTCAGCACGCGTGGAATTAAAAAATACATTAAAAAACGTATCCATGTTACTTAGTGATAACGTAACTTTTTGATGATGAAAGAATTTTTGAAATCGGCCCAGTTTTTGAGTTATATCAATACATATAAAAATACAAATCTTTCCCCTTTATAACAATAGTATAGACGTAAAGACTAGTATATAAAATATATCAGGCTGCGATAACTAGTTAAGAGTACATGTAAATTACGCATAGAGACGACCCAGATATTTGCATGTACAGGTCACTTGAGTAATGCTCTTATCTCTACAAATTTACTGATATTTGTATTCCTCGATATGTAAACATCGAACGCAATTTCCTTTTATATCGCTTTTAGTATTTAGTTTGTCATTTTCATCATTATTTTAAGAAAAAAATTACACAATACTGTCTCTTTCATATCTTAAAGCGACAATAAAAATGTTAAGTAAAAGTCAATCATTTTTCTATACATTCCCTACGCTGTCTTTTCCAATCAATGCAAAAATGCATCTACAACTTCAAGAAGTAAAATGAAGGGGAACTTCGACAGGGAAGGGATAATATAGACAGGGTAAATATCCCCAATTGCATCCCCTATTAAAGACAGTCAACATATTTATAACAGAGATGTCTATACAGCACTTACTTATATAAAGTTATACAAACATGGAATTAAGAAATAGTAAAAAATATAGCCCATGTTACTAACTGAAAATGTAGCTTTTTAACATTGAAGGAATTTTTGAGATCGGTACAGTAATTTTTGAGTTATTACAATACATACAAACATACAAATCTTTCATCTTTAAAATTATAGTATAGACTAGGTATCTCGGTTCACAGAGATCGCTCCCGGAGATCACCAGTAATATAAAAGAGTTGCTGGGGTTCTTCGGCGAGCTGGGTTGGCTGGAGTAATCTATGTCCTATTCTCACGCAAAATACGCGCTAGTCGTGGAGTTGCGGAAAGCATAGCCCCTACTACTACTACTATTACTATAGACTAGCTGTTGCTCGCGACTTCGTTTGTCCTTGTCTGTTACTAACTGAAAATGTAGCTGTTTAAAAGTGTAGGAATTTTTGAAATTGGCCCAGTAGTTTTTGTGTTATTAAAATACATACAAAAATACAAATCTTTCCTCTTTATAACATTAGTATTATACAATGTAAAACTTACCGGTCATAATAACCACAGTCACAATGGTAATGATAAAGAATGTGCTCTGCCATTCATCAGAGTCTACTTGCACTAGTGCGGTGGTGAACAGGAAGGTCAAAGTCACCACTACAAGGGATCCTTGCAGTCTAGACTTCAATGGTACCCTGAAATTAACAAAATCATACTTATATTATAAATGCAAAAGTTTACATAGATGGATGTTTGTTAGAGTTTATTGCCTAATCGGCTGAATGGATTTCGATGAAATTTAGTATAGATATAGAGGTCAGGAAGAACACAGAGGCTACACACTTTTGTTTTTGCTTTTAATTCAATGCGACCGAAGTTTGGGCAAGAACTAAAATATAATCATTATTAATTAGAAAAGTAGTTTTTTCCAAACAAAATCTTAATAAAGATAAAGCCAAAACAGACAGACAAACAGTATTTCGTTATCAGCTAAGCAAATAAATCTTTGCACAAACTTTAATTTTATATACAGCCACTCCAATTTTATTAACTGTTTTAAATATTTAAAATATCTCAGACAATATAGAACGGGTATAAAACGATTATCTAATTAAGCTATTTAGTATCAATCATACTTACAAATGTCCATACAAGGAGTTAAGAACAAGGAAGATCAAGTTAGGTATAGCGGTAGCTACATTAAGGTAGGATGTAAACTCTGCTTGGAACTGCGTCTTGCGCACAAACATTGTCACATTGTTGGGCGTCACATCTCGAAACTTGTACATCCAGTACTGAAAACATATTAAAAAACATGACATTTTAGTAGATTTTTGTTAATTCACTAATGTTTTTTACCATTTAAACTAAAATCTAGATTTGGGATAGGAATTGATCGGATATCCGTACCCCTAACCTTAGTCTTTGCGACATTGAGGTCACATACAATAAAATATTATATTTTGCCGGCGACTTAGTCTGTGCAGCATTAAAATAACTTGATAAGTAGCCAATGTGTCATACAGATTATATTCTACATCCGTGTTAAATTTTATTGAGATCCATTAAGTTATTGGACATATGAAGTAACTAATATCCATCCACCCATCAACAGCTATCCACAATAATTTGTATAAAAACGTCATTGCATTTATTCTCATTGCCATTTTTCATCCGTTAAAAATCAGTATCTTTATTAAATAATGCTGTTTATTTAGATATTTAATTAAATCAAACCTTGATAATAGATACTGTTATAATAATAGTAATGTTATAATGGAAATGCAAATTCACCTTGACATCAAATAATAGATATGACCTACTTACATTAGATTTGTTTGAAATGTTATGTTAACTGAAACCTATAGCAATTAAAATATTAATAGAATCTTTGATTTAATTTTTAAATTTTATTTTAAAAGGTCAAATTAATACAAATATTACAAATGGGGTAGTTTGCAAGGATGGATGGATATTACAACATATCTCCAAGATTATTTAACATATGTAGATGAAATTTGGCACAGATGTAGTACATAATCTAGAAGAACACATAGGCTATAATTTTTTTTATCTGTGTGTATGAAGTCAGGTGTAAAAGGTAGTCTGATGCACACATTTTTTTCTGTATCTCATGTTTTTATCAGATTTTTTGAATGTCAATAACTGAATGGGTATTTGACATTTACTTTGTCATCTACCTTAGTCCTTTAAACCTGTTTTTAAATGTGTTTGTTTGTCTTATTACAAAAAAAAACAAACATTATAGACTTGTATTTAATATATTTTATTCACAACCTTATATTGGGATGTTCTTTTTTTTATAAATATGGTTAAATAAACTTTTTGTTCGAGATTTGGATCTTCATTGCTAAATTAAATATGGACTTACCCAAAGTAAATGGGATTTGATAAAGAAAATGACATTCAAGGCAACATTTGACATTGTATATATTTAGGAAATTTACTTCCATGCTTATTTAAATACTGAGAATTAGATAACATGCACTATGACATTGTGTAATGACTCACAATGTTTACAAGAATGTATGTATCACATTTCTCCTTAATATAAATGATGTAATAAATGCTTTAGATCGCATGTAGATTTTAATTGTAATTAAGTATTACTTAGTGTATTTCTACAATAATTATTAATTACTTACGTCGTTTGCAGTTATTAGGAAATTCCATGGTACAAGCGATGTGATGCCAAAAAGGTAGAAAAGTATGTAAACGAGTCGATATCTATCGGTTGGTTGTTCGTCACTATTTAGTACTTTTGTAGAGCAAGAGTCCGTCACAAGTTCCCTTTCTTCTGAATCATCAATCACCTCTTCTTCGTTCTCCATAGTCTCAATCTCATCATTGTTTATCGAGCCTGTAGCATCCATGGTGATTTTTTTCCACTTTCGACTCGCAACAAAAATTAATTCAAGTTACAAAGGAAAGCAACTTGTTATTTTCTGTATCGCGATATTAAATATGCCAATTTAACAACACCTTTTAACTTGAGACTAATATATTTTGCTCCATTCTGTGCACGTAGTCTGAATACGTAACTTATTCAAATATTTTATTTAATTTTAAACATAACACTGCCCGTGCCTTTATGTCAACTTGTCAACTGATGTCAATAAAATATTCATCGAAGGAGTACCAACACAGAAAAGAGATGATGGAAGAAATTGTATAGCTATCTTTTTCATTCACAGTAGATTTTCTATACTGCGATCTCGATCACACATGGGTTCTTCATTTCCAATCGCCAACACTACAATATTAGTAATGTTACCTGCATATGTTTCGTTTACCCCAATGTCACAAAGGTATGTAATTTTATATTCACGCTATTGAGTAAAAGTTAAAATAATACGCAGGTTTTGGTCTAGCATCCAAAAATGCGAATAGTCTGTTTACATTTTGATACGACAATTCTTCGGTATATGATTTGTTGTATTCTACACAGAACTATGTAGAGAAAAAAAAAAGAATTATCAAAATCGGTGCTCCAGTGTTGGAGACAGGCGATATCTTTCTTTTGGGAAGTCGGTCAATGAAACAACAACGTTTAATAAAATAGTAAAATTTTATTAACCTTCTTGATTAAAATTATTTTGTTTTCTACGTTTGTACAATGTAACAATTAAAGCATAAACAAAATTTTCATAATATTTATAAATAGACCTTTTTTAAATGCTAAAATGCATGTGATGTAATTTATTTAAAAATAAAAGTGGCATTAAACACAAATATAAAAGAAAACTATACATGAGAAAATAATGTATATTAAAATATTTCTTTGTTTATTTTAATTTAACCTAGGGACGGACACATTACATGGACTTAGTACTACACTTCTAAAAGTTATAAAAATGATTTAGCTTAATCTGCATATCTAATTAAATATCCACCTAAGTGTTATTGATACGTTAGTAACTTGTTTTTTAACAAGCAAATATACTCCAAGTTTGGAAAACAAATCATTTTACAATGAATAATTGTATTTCTTAAAGATTAATTATTTTACTTAAATGAGATCTTGCTTAATTTGTGAATAAAATACATAGTTTAATTTTACTGTGTTGCAATTGTTTGCAGAAGCAAGATTTGAATTTAAACTGATATATAAATTTTCAAAGGCAACTTATTTGTATTCATTTAGTAATATTTATTAATTACATTATAATAAAACGAAAGCGTGGAATGAACACTAAACGAAGCTAAATATATAAATGCAATAGAACATTTACGTGAAAAATATTGTCAGTCTTTTATTTGCTTCTTCCACGTTGATTTCTACCACCCCAACAATTATCCCTTCAAGATACTTAATTAGTAACTAGTAATAATAAATGAAGAATATTTAAGAACACTTCTACATTCACTGAAAATGATTATCAAAATTGTCTAATCATCGTCAATTTAAATTTCAAATTTTCCCATAATTCTTGGAGAAAATAATTAAATTGCAACATTGATCATCGCAGAAGTTTTCGCGGCATATTTGACAATTGACATACAAAATCAATTTTGATAATGAAGCGATTTCTCGTACAATTATTTTAACCAAATATTAATTCTACGGTAATTTGAGTAAAGCATCTTGGTGACGTTAATTGCACTTTATCATTTGTATTATTTTAGTTTATTACATGGCAGTTTCCAATGGTTGGCTGTAAGATCGGCTATCTTCGGTGATCGTCGGCGTCGTTTCGTCGAAGTCGAAGTTTGTTTCGAGTAATGCTTCTGATTTTGAGCGGGAATGTAACTCTGGGTACGTGTTGGATGAGTTCGGGCTCGAGTCGTAACTCGCGAGGGCTTCTGACTGCGAGTCGTAGTATTGTGGTTGCGGCGTAGATGTGATTGTATCGTCGAAGAATTGCTGTTGGTCTGTATAGGAATGGATTTAACATTAACACAAAAAAATTAGACAAATTAATGCTTAAAATTGCTATAGGCATATTAAAAACATATACCTGTTTATTCACAGCTATAAATGTGCTGATTTACGATTAACGATCGTTAAAAGAGAACGTTTACTTTGAAAAACATAAAGCTTGCTACACACGCTGCTTTATCTGACAAATTTGTCTGAACAGTTAGATCGTTCAGATAAATCTACAAAACTGGCAACTGTTCAATTCTTATATTTATACACGAATTATATGAAATCGTCTCATAAATAACGACTTTGTGACTTATTTCATGAGTTAGACTAATAAATATTACCTGGCGTGTCAGTTCTCTGTCCAAACGTAGTAGTCGGTACAGCGCCGGGCTGAGGTGGCTCCGGCATTTTAGACCTTAACTCCATTAGAAAAGATAGCTTTGGCTGTGCACCATAGTCGGGTGTCCCGTACGGACCGTATATCTTCCCCTCCTTTTCTAACTCCCGTTTTAACGCTAAAGGATCTGTGTTTAACGGCCTTAATGGTAACGTATCTGATGTGAAATATTGAGTATCCGGTGACAGAGTTTCATCATCAGGTGATGTAAGTCCCCCTGGATGATGGATTATGGGTAACTCTTCTGTTGTACCAATAGGGGTTTCTATGATACCGGGATTTTCTTTGTACCCTTCGTTCCGGTACCCCAAGTTGTAAGGTCTGGTTTCTGGTACGGAGTACTCTGGTGTTGGTTTTTTATTGAATGTGCTGTGTTTGAGTTGTATGATGTTGCTAGGGTTATGCGCCTCGTAGATATCGAAGCTTTGGTTATCTTCTATGGAGGAATTAAATTGGCTTTTCTCCATAGATTCCATGGAGGTGGTGGACGCGAGTATTTTGCGGTAATCCGAGCCCTTTGTCAATGTGTCGGTTGATCTTGTACTCTGTAATTAAATCTTTATATTTAGTGCACTACTTTTTTAGCCTTTATATTGTAACAAAATTAAGTATTATATTTTTAGTAAAGGTCGAAGAAATTAATTTAATTGCCATTAATGGATAAACTAAGGCATTTTGAAATGAAAGTAAAAAATTAAAACGAAACGAAAGTTAATCTACACAGTTTATAATATCGGAGTGTCTTTATGTAGTATCAAGTATGTCGAAAATACGATTTTAAAAATATATGCCTTGTTAATCTGTCCACGTTTGTTTCTGTACTATTTGAACCGAATGGACTTTGATGGGGGACATAGCTACAATTCGACTACAATATTATGAATATAAAAATGTTATTACCATTTGTGCGAGTTTCCGTCTGTATGAGTTATCAGGGAAGCCTCCGTTAATGCTGCCGATGGAGCGCACCGAGTGCAGCGACTGACGTATCGAATTCCGGCGCTCTAGACGCTGCACATGTCTGCAATTCATAATTAAAATAAAATATAATTAAACCGGCGATTACATCCGTGTGGAATGTAGTATATGTGATCTGCCAGACTATCCTCTATATCTATGCCAAATATCGAGATTCGTTTAGTAGTTTAGGCTTCAAATTCGAACAAACATCCATCCAAACATTCAAAATATTTATAAAGAATGACCAAGAACGCACTACTACGGTCCAATAATAAGTCAAAATATCGCACCAAGTTAAAAATCACGGTTTAAAAAGGTTAACGGTTAAGATAAAGTGTATTTGAGACACTTTTTATTGTAAGGCTTTCTGTATTATCTGGAGTATAGTAACTTACCTATGTTTCGACTTGGAGTACCAGCAGATGAGAGCTGCGCCGACCAGCACGACGGCCGCCACCAGCACGCCGATGAACGCCACCGCCAGCGTGTCTCCTTGCCACGACAGCGGGTCGATGGATATCTTTGGATCTGTTGGAAATAAACTTTTATAAAAACAACAAATAAAATCAATTTAAAAAGTCAAGAAGAAAATCAGTAATGCGCTGGAGGATTGGCGCAACACTAGATATTGGCATATACGTCCCGTCCCTATCTGACAGCTGTCAATGTCATATAGACATTAGAATAGCGCGCCTTTCTTCCGGGAGGCAGTGGCCTGAGTGTTTACGTTAATTACGTTGTTACAATTATATTAACTGTGTAAAAATAAATATGTAATGATATACTGCATTTCAAAATTGGCTGTCAAAATTATTTCATTGTGAGTTGCTAGTACAAGAAAAAGAAACAATAATTTTATATGTATATTTTGTATAAAAGTACTTTTTAAATTCTTTGGACTTTATTTAATTAAATTGTTCAAGCTTTCGTGTGACATTATTGGAAACAAAAGAACGGATTAACTCCGATGACGTCATCAGACGATCATACTTGAGTCATTCTAAATTAATTTTTAACATGTCATGAGATATCCGAATCCTCAAAATCCGCTTGTTTTAATGAAAAAAATGTTTAAAATAGTGTGTACTTACCTATTTCACATACAAATGCATTCTTTCTGTTACAGTCAGTGATATCGACGGTGGAGAATGCGAAGGAGGTGCATTGCGTGAAGTAGTCGTAGTGGTTAACCCACACGCGGTCCCCGTACTGGAACCACTGGCTCTGACGTCGGATGAACTCGTAAAGTGCATCGTAGTTATCGCCCACGTATGGCATTGACGCGTTGTCAGACTTGAAATTAAATAACATGTTAAATTAAATGCTAAAATATGTAGATGCTGTAATTTTTTTATTTTCGTTCGCGTGTAAAAAACAAACTATCCTCTACATATGACTTTCTTTGCAATCCGTTGAGCAGTTTACAAACTCTAATAAACATCCATTCATCTAAACTTTCGCATTTATAATATTAGTGAGACAGCAAGAAGTAATAAGTAAGATGGACTGTTGGTAAAATTTTATTTAAATTTTACAAAAACACATAAAAAATTCTTTATTCATTCATTCATTATAATTTATGTTTATAATTATTTCATGTAAAAAAAATAATATTTTTATTTAAAAAAAGTAAAAAACAATTCTTTTGACCCCGACGTGATTTGAACACGCAACCTTCTGATCTGGAGTCAGACGCGCTACCGTTGCGCCACGGAGTCGTTGTAAGCACTTATCGAAAATAAATACTACTTCAATTAAATAATCGATTTTATCGACATAAGCGGTTATCAGATGTTGACGGTTGAAATACTTACTAAATAATCGTTTTTTTTAAAGATAATTATTAAATTCTGTGAATCAACATGTATGTATGAAAAACTATGAATAAGGATAACGTGAACAAAAATTAACCATGATTAGTCATCACTATTAATATAGTTTATATCGAATATCAAGTTTTTTCTTTATAATGTGGACTGGATTTTCATCCTGCAAATAACTCTATTATCCATCTCTGTCATCACTAACGCAATCCATCCAACTCTTTCTAAGTCTACCTCTACTGGTTTTACCATTTTTCGAGATTTCTCAAAAGTCAATCAGTTTCAGAAACGGTTCGAAGTTTCAGAAACGTCGGATATTTATCCGTTTTACAATAAATTTGAATAATTAAAATAAATAATTAAAAAGGTACATTAATTTACTAAATGTAAATTATCTTTTAGTTGGTATAACTGTTTGTAATTGTTAATCTCTTGTTTTTCAATAAAATGATTTGTATTTCCTAATTAAAACTGACCGAGCAGAATTGCCTGGCCTCCTGGTAGGTCATGGGCGCGCCGACGTACATGTAGCAGGTGCCGGCCACCGCGTCCCAGCCGGGCGGGCACTTGCCGCCGCCCAGCACCGACACGTTGTTCATGTGGTACGGCTGGTAGTCCACCTCAAAACATACACTTCAATGTAATTCTAGTTAGATCCACTTAACTCACTTTTTGACCGACTTCCCAAAAGAAGGAGGTACTCAAGTCTTTATGTTTTTTTTTGGTTATTTTGATGACATTCGTTAGAGAATCAGAGGCACATTGTTTATATCAGAAAGACGTATTATACATCTATACTAATATTATAAAGAGGAAAGATTTGTATTTTTTTTTGTATGTATTGTAATAACTTAAAAACTATTGGGCCTAGTTCAAAAATTCTTTCACCATATATTTTATACAATATTTTTAAATCAACGTGGACGAAGTCACGAGAAACAGCTAGTTGTAAAAATTGATAACTCCGTCACAGCTATACAGAAGTAAAGTGAAAGCAATTCGGCATTTCGTCTGCTGAATGTACTCTTTCCACCAAAGGCTCCCGAAACTCTGATAAGGAAAGGATGGGAAGGGAAATTTAATTTGACGGAAGCGGGGATACAAAAGAAAGGGAAATATGCTCATAGTGCGGTAACAAATGTACTTACCTCGAGTAATAGTGGATCGTCGGATCGATCTCGTATACGTCCAGCGACAGCCAAGCTCTCGTTGTAACTCCAGTAATTATGCTTCGCGTCGATACGAGTCCTCCATAGCTCTAGTGCACTGTAATTTATTATAAAAATATCGTCAGTGACTAAAATCATACTAATATCATAAATGCGAAAGTTTAGATGGCCGGATGGTAGATGTTTGTGAGAGTTTGTAGACTAAATGACTGAACGGATGTAGAGGATAGTCTGCAAGAACACATAGGCTTCCCACTTTTGTTTTTTTAATTCCACGCGAATACGGGAGCGAAAGCTAGTCTTTAATAAAAAAATAGACACTTCGAAATTTCAACCAATAAAATTATATTGCAGTTTTTTTTTTTTAAAACACAAGGTGGCAAACGAGCAAGCGGCCATAGACATCCGCAATTGCAGATGCGTTGCCTACCCTTATACGACGGAGGAGGAGACGCACATAAAGAGAATATTTCCCCTTCCTATGCATCTCCTCCACCGTCAAATCCACTTCCTCTTCCCAACCTCTCCTTAAAAGAAAAGGGTGGTAAAGAGAAAGAGACTTAAATTAGGCCTCCGGCACCACACTCATCAGACGAAACACGGAATTGCTTTCATTTCACGCCTGTCTTCTGTGTGGTCGTGGTATTACACCGGGCGTGCCCTGCAGTGCTAAGATGTTAAAGCGGGCACTACCACTGTCAAGAGTTATGTTATACCATTTGCATCTTACATTCTTATTACTGTTAGTAATAATATTCAATTATTAACAAATAATAATAAACATAAATATGCGATTAATTACGTGCATGATAGTAAGCAAAAAATAATAGAGAATAAAGCGAAAGGTGCAAGTCGATATTATTAATAGAACTGAATAGAAAAATACCATACAAAAATAATAATATAATATAATAAATAATACATTTTATGTAAGAACTCACCTCATAGCATTGGGATTATAGTCAACAAAGCTATACGCCGGCAGCCATGCAACATGAAACATGCAAGTCATTCAAATTGTATGACATTAGTATGAAATCTCACCTCCTTAATTGATGTTTGTATGAAGTTTTGATAGTTTAATAAGGGCCTGTCCCACCACTGGCTGATAGAGACTTAGATAGCGTAAAATTGACATCACTGTCAGATAAGGTAACAAAATCCGATGTGTGATGGAATCACATATTTTACACGTTTGATTTTTACAACATACAATTTACAATTTAGTAGGACAGGCCCAAAACACCCAATTTTGACTAATTTTTACAGTAAAAGTGCTTTATTGACTTGGAAATAATTAAATATTTACTGTTAGTTCTTTAAACATGAAATTAAAATTAAAGGAATATTTTATCGGAGTTTTCTATGAATAAAATGTTTTCAATATTCTAACAACTTTGATGTTATGTTATTTACGCTTTAATTACTACTATTTATTTAACAATAAGCATATATTAGTTTTGAAACTTACATAGAACGGTTAACAGTAATCATTTCATAATCATTGTCGGGATTGAAGAAGACATTGTCTACGTAGTGTTGTCCTGCAGTGCCGGCGACCACGGTAGCGCGTCCTTGTCGGTCGAGTGCGTAATTTCTGAAATATAACAATTACTTATGATTTAAATGTAAAGCGCCTCTTGTAATCAGGAGTTTAGTCTAGATGGACCCATGTGTCATGTGCCCACGGAATGGAAATGGATGTACTGTGGCAAGAAATACAATTAGGGCCGGTCCCACCAAATTGTAAATTGTCTGATAACAATCCAACGTGTAAAATATGTGATTGAAATATCAGATTTTGTTCCCTTACCTGAAAGTGTCGTCATTTTTAAGCTATCTGAGCCTCTATCAGCCAGTGGTGGCACTGGCCCTTAATAATTTACAAGGTGAAGAATAAATCTAGCAGCAAAGTTTAGAAAGGGGTCTAATAGTAGTAGCAGGCTACGATTTATACAATATAATGGCTAGCGCGTATTTTGCGTTAGGACAAGACATTGATTATTCCAACCAGCCTTAGCTCATCAAAGAAAGAAGGGGTCTATGAAAGTTTAGATATAGACATATCTAAACAGTTAAGTACAAATATATCTATCAATGATGTTACTTGTAAAATCCATTATGCGAAGTAGTCTGGTAGATCGGCAGGCGAACTTTATCGAAGCCGGACACGTCTAAGATTCTCTGTCCCGTGTTCTCATGCACGTAGTTATGAGTGAAATTGGAGACAACCTGATGTAGCACTATCACGTCTTTGTATTGAGCACGGTTACGAGTGAAATAGTTACGATAGATGGTCACCTCTTGGTAGGGGGAGGATTGACGTCCTGGAATTAAAACAAATTATTGTATTAGTATACCAGAGGCCACATAGAACAAAGCGAATCCCGATAAGCCTAGAGATAAATTAAAACCTGTATGGATTATGGAATGAGCAATTGTAACTCACAAAAGTTTAATAGTAAAATATCAATGTTCAAAATTTTTTGGAAGTGTATATTCAAATAATTTCGATGCTAAACCATTGTATCCATTATTAGTATCTAGATGACCTTGAGTGTAACGGTAAGCAAACCTTTAATAATGCCTACCTTCAACTCTAAGACAAGAAAGATCGTGGTTCTCATAGAACAAGTTATTATGAATCCAGCCGCGTAGAGATGTCGCAGAGCCTCTGGAATCTGCGCGTACTAGCAGACCTCCCACGTTCTTCCTCACCAAGTTGTTCTGTAATTACATTTCATTAACAAATTAGTAATCACATCCACCTTGACAAGAAACATGACAATATTTTCATAAACCACAGAAGAACATCACTAGGGGTTCGGAAATTTATCAAAGTGTAAGTGATTTGAATAAAAATGGTAATTTGCATAATTCTCAGTCGTAACTACAAGCTACAAATTAATAGTTACCAACCACAGAAGTACACATATCGATGGATAAATTAATGTTGGCATGTTAAAAGAACATTCAAAACTTACTCTGAATACCAACGTCTGTGTATTCTGCACATCAACTGTGACAGCGGCTGGGCAGGTGGTGAAGTTACCGTACAACTTGAGGCAATTGTCAGTTATCTCGTTCCTTGTCATCGCTACTAACGGATTGACTTCGCCGACTGATTGGTACGTGATTGCGCCATCTCTATTCTTTATAAACTCACTGTTCGATATATTGTGTTGGACGTCACGGTCTGGAATTTCATTAAAGATGTTCAGTCATAAAATCTTAAAAGTTTCTGGATAATATTCGTTTTAAAAAGGATGACTTGGTCTTTGATACGAGTTCTTGGAAAGTACAAAAGCAAAACTATTAGCACAGCATAAACAATCAACAGGTAAAAAATTATGGTTATAGTTACAGCAATCAAGGATGGTAAAAATGTACACAGTTAAAGTTGTACTTACTGAGTCCTATAGCTGATATAGGTAGAGTTACGACTTCTGCAATAAATCCATGTACTGAAGAAGCGCCATTTGCAAACAATTTCACACTCAAACTCGCCCCTTCTGTTCTAAAAAGCTTCTTTTCTTCAGGAGATCCATTTTCCAAATATCCAATGAGAGGAGCTGTGATATTGTAAATATCACCATCATACAAACTGAGAGAATCACGTTTTCCATAGTTTAATGTATGGTTGAATAAGTTAAACTGGAGCAAGCGAAAACCAAATGGTTTCACTCTAAACATGCTCTTGAAGATCTTGACACAATTTACTGGATTGTTATCGTATTTGTAATATAGAAGCACGCGTTCTTCAACCGTAATTACTTTAGTGCTGTCGCAAATATCAATGACAGAAAACAGATGGTAAGGAAGATTCAAGTCTTTTAAAGGCGTAAAACTAGATTCTTCCGATTCTCTACCTTCACCAGTTAATGATATGGCACTTATTCCTTCACCTAGAATATCGTTTATCGAATTAGACATTAAGTTTATAGTGTCCGTAGGCGATATGATGTTGATTCCATGATGTGCACATCGAGTAATGTTTATATTTTGGATGCTTGGATTTTTTGTTATACTTTGAACAGCTGGAGACTTTTCATTGTGTAAAATACCAGCCCCCATTATATGCACATTTTCTAAGACACTCTCCACTTTTTTCAGAGTTTCGTGAGTATGATGGTCGTGAATTCTATGTTCATAGAGTGAGTACTCAAATTCTGGGTAAGTAAAACGTATACCACCCCAGTAATCGAGACCTTCTTCTAAATTTCTTTCACCGCAGTGTATGAACACGAAGTCTGAATCCCATTTGCATTCATGCCTATGTCCGTATAATTGACCGTTCAATCTGATAGGACAATCCTCGTACCGATATTCAGTTCCGACGCATTGTAAAGGCTCAGGCCAAGACCAAATTCTGGATAAAGAGCTGCTGTGATATTCAACTCTGCGATCGTGAGCAAAGAAAACGTTAATAGGATCGAATCCTAACTCTCGACAAACGACTTGCGCGTTTCTTTCTGTAAAACGGTTATCACACATCGGTACCCATTGCAATGTAGTCTTGTTGTAGTACTCTAAGAAACCTTCGTTTGTGTTTCCGATATTAATATCATTTATAGAGCAATTTCTTCCTGTGCATAATCTAATAGATTTTTGTACCATCAAATTCTCCAATTGCCTTCTATGCTTATGATGACTTGAAGAATATTGTCCAACTTCCCTCTTCTTAATGTTGCTTACTTCGCTGTTTTCATTTAATGAAATTGGTCTCATTAATATAGGGTGTCTCGCAAGACCAACGGCCCGTAAGGTTCCCATTACTAGTATACCTACATTCGGTGCAAACTCTAAAGTTACCCCTGGGTTTATAGTTAATGTCACTTCCGGCATTACTGTGATATCGGATTTTACTATGTAAGGTTCTGGTCGTGGATTCAATGTTAGATCAGCATTTAGTCGCCCACCGAGCAAATCGATCGAATTTTCTGTAGAAAAAGTTATAGACACGCTTGCATCGAGGCTATCCTCAAGTAAATATGGAAGATAGGTAGCAATCGCATGATTATTCCAATCATCAAAATCGAAAATCTGTTTTTTAATCTCTTTCTCATCAGCGCTTCCCCACCAATTCTCAGTTACATCTAGTAAATTGTCGATTTTAGCAGTTTTGATGCCCGCTACCAAAGTATATTGTAGGGCGTTATTCCCAAACAGATTCCTACTAACTTTTACTTTCTGTATTCCTTTAAAGCCTATTACGTATGTTGGATTTAGAGTTTCATATAATGCGCCTCTGCTGACGGTAGACGAATAATAATTATTTTTGATTTGATTGTAAACAAACACCGCATATACAAATCCCATTATTTCACTCTGACTGTCCATGTAAAACTGGACCATGTACTGGCCATTATTTCTTTGGACAGAATTCCCATCGATCTTCATTTTCTTTTCCATGCCTCTTACGGTTATCAAACCGTTTTTACAAATGTTGTCCGTAAAAACATTTTTAGTAATGTTAACTTCAGCAAAATGACCGTCGATTACCAATCCAAAGTTTTGATTATTCCTCCAGGTGTTGTTGTACATAAAAATAGAATGGGTAAAATTCTCGTTGTATTGCCATACATAAGGTAGAGCAACATCAAAGCCTCCATATTTATTTCTTTCAATTGTATTATCTTGGAGTACGTAATGGTAAAGATTATTTGAGCTTCTTAAATCTCTAGCAAAATGATATATTCCTTTGCCGTTGTCTGTAATCAAACTATTGTTTACCATTATAGTAATTTCAGTAATATTGCTGTCATGGATATCCCAGTACGGAGTATTAACGAAAATAGCTTCTTCTTTGTTGTGAGCTATTTCACAGTTAAATAGTTTTATTGTCTCATTAGCTTTTCGTAAAAAGTGATCTCCTAATTCGTTTAAGTAGCGGTTATAGTAAAGTGCTTTGACACCTTTTGTATTTCCTTTGATTTTAGAATTAACTATTTGCAGTGTCGGCACTGGGCCTTTAACAATCCGATTTCTTATGTTTTGTACTGGGGCAGTGATTGTGCTTACAACTAAAACAACACCTCCTAAAGCAGTTCGTCCACTCTCATAATTTAAGACAATTCCAAAACTACTACTCGTAGTAGGGAAAGTTGATAAATCTCGATCTAGACACCATTTAGCACTTCCTTCGTTAATGTTCTGTGAATCGTAAATACAAATACTCTCCGTTGAAAAGTTGTGAATAGGATTTAAAAGTTGTAATCCAAGAACATAACCTGGGTTGCATCGAATATTGTAGGTTTTGATAATATTTTCGCCATAATGTTTGTTGAATACTAAATGCCGCGTTTCACCATTAACTAAACTTATATCTGTCTCATAATCCGGAATCATTATCGGTCTATAATTCAGTTCATCAACATTCAAACCTGGGTCTAAATTAAACCATCCTGCTAATTCTCTCTGCTGAAGTCCCGTTAGGTGTGGATTATGTGAAATTCCCGCTATTTCGTTGTTTTCTATTATCGTACTGTGTATTTTGAGTCCTAATTGCTTAAAACTTATACCGCTTCCTTTATTGTTACTAAATTCTGAGTTTCTTATAGTATTTATAGCATCAGCCCCATATAAATCAGAGTATAAAATGCCCAAACCATCATGGTAATTATTTGATACTTTTACACTTTCTAACCCATGTCGAGAAAAATCAATTTGTAGTGCTGGTTTGAAAATATTTGAAGAATAATCTAAAAGACCAGCTTTTTCAATGTTTAAGTATTGCATGTCAGACCGCTCAGCGAGAACACTGAATCTTAGGCCAGCCCAGCTTGTTTCGTAGCATCGGAGTCCAACGTCATTTTCATGTGTGCAAGAATTTTCAAAATGTTCAACAGTCTCCGCTTTACATTTAGTTATATCGTTATCGAATTCTGTGCATTCAACATTAGATAGAATAATGTCTTCAGTTGTCCCAGCATTCGGAATTTCATTAGGCTCTAAAAACCAATCACTTGGATTTAGAGCTAGTCCTAGTTGATTGCAAACTAAAGCAGCATTTATAATATTCCAACCATAATTACAAACTGTTCCCCATTTGTCATCCAGCCTTACTTGTAATCTTCCTTCGTATTGTGTTCGTCCTCCTAGAAGTCTTATTGGTATAACTGGTTCCACATAACCTGGAGTAGTTGGCTCTATTTCAGTATCCGTTTCGTAAATACTATCGTTACTCATGATAACATCCTCTTTTAACGTGAAAGTGATATCATTAGGACGTTTTCCTCTCGCGTCAAGTTTGCCTGCAATCATCATTCCTATGGATGGTGGAAACTTTAATGTTACACCTGACTGTAAAACTAGTTTACCTCCAGGCCGAATATTTATATCCTTGTCAACATCATATTCGCCTTGTCTTAAAATCTCTATGCCTTCTACTTCACCTCCTACAACAAAAGAGCCTGGTATATTAAATTGTGGAACGAATAATGAGTTGTAATTAATTTGTGTCGCGCCAGGATTACTACTATGGAGGAGATAAGGCATGTAAATTATTCTAGCCAAGTTGTAGCGATCTTTTCTATGAAACAGTCTATTGTAAACCTTTTCTTCTTCTCCAAAACCAAGCCAGTTGTATGTACAGTTTAGGATTTTACTTTGGTCTTCGACGTGAGATCCGATTTCATATTGTGCTTCCGGGTTATTAATTATATTTCTAAATACATCTATATTGCTTGATGCCAAAACAATTGTTGCTGCTACTCTGCTTCTAGGAGTTAGACGGGATGGTATTCCTTCCAAAGGTTCAAAAGGTTCTCTTATTTTGTTATCTCTTAGATAGTTTCTCGAGAAAAGAATGTACTGTAAGTCACTATATGGTGATAGACCTAGGTTAACAACAAAGGGACCTCTATTGCCATAGAAATAGTTGTGTTGAATATGAAATCTTGAAGGAAGTATTTCAAATTCTTCCAAATATTTGCCCTCTATGCGATTCATTATTACAATAGCACCATAATCACCATGTTCAAAATAATTGTATTCAATTTTTCCCAGAACATTTAAAGCTGGCTGTAATCTTATTGGCACCCGACGATTTTGATAAAATTTATTATGACCTATTTGCAAATTGAGCAATTTTGGAGGATCGTTAAATCTCCAACAGGATGCTATATCAACTGTGCTTTCGACACTTGAATTGAACCAATTTCCAGTCAAATTAACCCAACTATCACCACAAAAGTTTCCATGTAATATTCCCACATCTAAGTTTTTAAAAACTTCTGAATATTCTACCACAGTCGTTTGATTTACAGGTATGTATTCTGTTTCTCTGGTATTATTTATCCATACAGCAATGCCATATCCGCTATTTGAACTCACAGTGCTTCTAGATATATTTCTGTTCCCTCCAGTGACAGTAATGTTTATGCCATCGCCTTGATTGAAAGATATTCTACTCTCTGTTATGTTAACATCTCCTGCACCATTTAAAACTTGAAGTCCCGCAACGTGATTGTTATTCGATATTGATGTTCGATGGATATGAATTTGAGATCTTAAGTTTTCAATAACAACGCCTCTGCCATTATTATCTGATATAATTGTATCCGTAACGTTCAAATCGTACGTTTTACTCAATCCAGATGTTAATCGTAAGAAACCAATAATATCTGTTCGTGTGTTTGCATGGAATCTCACATACATACGATTTCTAGTAGATGTAACACTTTGAGGACGTGTATGGTTTCGTATGCCGAACGATAGCAGTAGTTTATCGTCTGAGGTCAAACCATCGTAAATGAATATTTCTCCTGTGTTATTAGTATTCGTTAAAAGCTTCAAAAAACTCAATGTAAGCACGTGATCTGGCCTCGTATAGAATTTTTGATGGCAATCTCTTTCCATATTCGAGTATCTAGATTGTTCTATTGACATTTGTATCGGAAATGTTTGACTAGGTGTTGACGCTAGAGTACAAAGGTCAAATATTTCACTACGATCGAACTTTTCATTAATAGCAAGTTCATGAACGACGTATTTGACACCATCACCGCCATTTTCAGAAATCAAACAGTTTTCAATTCTGGCCATTCCATACGTGGAATTAACGTATACACCATATCCTCTATTATTTTGTATAGTGCAATTGTTTATGACTATTGGGGCGTTTGAAGAAGTTACGTTAATAGCGTTGAAGGCGGAATTTGTTATTTTAATGTCTTCCATGACAGGAGGCACACCTATTACATCTAAGGCACTAGTAGCATTATTATCTCGACCTAATCCAGCATTTCTTATAACTACATGTTTCAGTACAGACATAGAGGTAGGGATGTATAGTGTATTCGCAGCTGTCAGTATCCTTTCAAAGACTGCATTTTCAAATCTCAATCCTCTCCAATGCTGTCCGAAGTTTCTAATTTCATTATCATCATGGTGGGGTAAACATTGAATGCCGAGGTCCGGGTGATAATCACAGACGCCGGAGCCGAGCTGTCTGGAATTCCAGTCGCATTGGAATATATCGTACTCGGTTCCTTTACACTTGGGCTCCTCGTATAAGAGGCGGGCACGCCGACCCGGCTGCCTGTCCATCCAGTTGTAAAACGTTCCGCCCATGAAACCTAATTGCCTGCACGCAGTCTCCATAACGTTGATAGTCCAACTGGAACAAAATAACGGTATTTTAATCGTTGTAAGTACATCAGTGTAAATACATTCAGCTATTATAAAACAATAGTAATTGTATATTTTAATAAAAGAATTTGTATTTGCATAAGATTCATGTAGCGGATAAAAAGTGAACATAGGTTACGTACTTTCTAGAATTCGTGCATACTGATCTCCACTGGCCCTTGTGCAGTATTTGCACCCTGCCAGCGAGGATAGAAGGACCATCAACCAGTCTGATTGCAGGTAATTGTGATGACTTCACTGGTTCTTCTGTACTCGTAAATGTTATTTTACTATCATGATTACCCTGAAACAAAGCAGAAAGAATAAAATTAGATATAAAATGCCCAATACTCTTTAAAAAAAATAATTATTGGATACTGGAGATGTAAAGGAAAAAGTAAGATCACAATCACAGGTATTCGTTTACTTGTCGTATAAAAAGTAGTAAAACATTTGGGTAAAACAAACTTAAAGTATGGCAAAAAAATGGGAAAGTTGGAGCACAATGCAGTTACGATTTAACTGATTTGTTACGATAACCGTTTACTCCGACTGTTGCACAAGATTTGATTTGGAAAGTTTACGGACGCAAGTGCTAAGAATGATCGGATGTCCAGATTCCGGTTTTGGTAAAACCCATTGTTTTGATGTGCTTTGTTCAACCATTGATAGTTACATTATTTTGTTAAGTAATTATTGTTTTAGAAGACCTTTTCCATAAAAGTAATTAAAACGCAAATTACATATGGTAGAGGTTATTTGAAATGAGATCTTATGAAATAGATTTAAAGTCAATCAATAAATATGTTGGTCTAGACAATTTAAGCTTTCTCTTTCATGTGAGGTTAGCTTGTACCAATAGTCGATGCTAATCATAAAGGTCATTAACATGTGACGTCATAAGTTCCGATTATAACAGCCGTAGGTTACGACTGCCTACGTGGACGAATGAATATTGAATAGATTACAGATAACCTTAAACTTTAACAGAATTAGTGCAGTCCAAATGAACATATCCTTCTCTAATATTAACATAACCCCAACTTCATTTGCATGGATTGTTATAATATTCAAATACATTTAGTAATTCATCAAATAGCCATATGCATTTTCTATACATGATCGCCCTTGCACTTCATAGTCACATCCTGCTTTTTGACGGCTCCCTATTCATAAGGTCACGTGCCGTCGCTCCCCATCTGTTAACATCGCCAAATGATATAAAAATGGTTAACGGCATTGGGGAACCTCGATTTTAGTACATAAACGCAATATCGCAATAGAATTGAATTTCAAGTATCAATGTAGTAAACAATAAAAGGCTTTCTATCCAATCGGAGTGTTCAGTTTTCTTAAAATACACAAGAGAAAGTTTGTAATCCTGTGCGAGTTGAGGTCATCAATTTTACTTGAAATAAATTTCTACTTTTTTACTGTACAGTAGTTTGTAGATTTAAAAAATTGTACTCGTAGGCGAGTATAGTTTAAACGCGTGTTTACTTTTTGATAGTGTGTTGATATAGATAAAGTAAATTCTGTACAAATCACTTTAGATTAAAGTTATATCCTAACCTTATACTAGGTTTATACTGTACAGTATTCTTGATAACTTTACGACTGCTGATTACTATCGCAGTGTGACTATAATTTTAGTATCTAAAATATTAAATGAATTATAATTATAATACTTTAGTATTTAATAAAATCCAGTTCAATCAACCCACACGTTGAGTCACCGTCCCCGTCCTTGCGTCCTGCAACGGTGTTAGCATGTCGTCCTTTTTGTTCATCAGCTAACCGAGCGGAACTGTTGTCTGACAATACTGTTGTTTTGACAGCTGTCAGTATAGCAAAAATAAGATTTTTAGGCGTGGGTTTTTACTGAAAACGGTATTTTTCTTTGGTTTTAATAGCGAAACTACGTCCTCGAATCTATACTTATGTTATAAAGAGGATAGATTTGTATTTTTGTATCTATTGAAATAACTCAAAAACTACTTGGCCGATTTAAAAAAATATATTAATTTTTAATTTCACGGGGACGAAGTCGCTTCCATCAACTAGTATATAATACGTTTATATCGAAAATAGGAAAATTTCCATCAAATAAACAGATATGAATCACCTTACTAAAAAGGATTTCCTAACATATCAGTTTAATCATTCTCAGTGTGAGTAGGACGCGAATGAAATATCAAGGCTATAAAACAATGTCAAAAAATTGCCGACGTTCGCAAAATAAAATACGATTCAACTGAGAATAATAAATGCAAAGATGCCATTTATTGACAACATCGATTAAACAGACTAAACTTCGAGGTTACTAAGATACTTTTAAAAGTACGCCTATTGTAAGTTTATTTTATGTAATAATTAAAGATATTACATTTTCAGCTATTTTTATGGTTGTCTAGCTTTTGCCTCCGACTTCAAAGGATAAACAAGGATAAAATGTGTGCAGTTTAACAATAAATTCCACAGGTGACGGTTGGCGTTGTCAGTTGTGGGGCGATGACTTCCGGCGTACAAGGCGCGTGGTGCTGGCCGAGTCGAGCGTGGAATCACAAATGAGCCTCGCAAGCCGCGACTAAACGTAAACTGCTACTGGGTTTATAATAAAGAAATACTTATAGAGAAAGATGAGACATCATCTATCATTATGTTGCTATAAATCTGGATAAAATTCATCATCTCCCTTTTCTTATTCCACTATAGATGAAGTTGGCACTACAGACTTCATCATCTAGATTGTTCGTCAAATAAAAGCGGGCGCACACCTGAAACTAAACTATCGCATAACTGTTTAGTCCCGCTTTGATTCCTATGAGCCTATATGGAGGTGCACACACTACTCGATTTTTAGTTGTGCAACTAAACAGTTGAATTTGTTGCGAAACAATCGACTATCGCGACAAAGGTGTGCGCTCAGTTTAAGTCGTCACTTCTTTAATTCATCGATCAATTAAATCTAAAAATTATTATTATTCCAATAATTTTAGGTCTAATACAGAATAGCAATAAATAAATAACTATTGTTTTTCCCCATACAATCGCACAGGATGACGTTAAAGGATTTCCGTTACACTAACATGATTATTTCACATTTTAGCATTGTTTCTGTCGATTCCATTGCTTTGAATATTTAGCAAGATTCATGTAAATTAACACTACTTACGCTACACTTTTTATTTTGATTTTAAAACCTGGATAATTCTTATTTATTTAAACGTAGAGTCAAACTCTGTTAAAATCCTAAATTCAAATCTGTGTGTTTGTAGAAAATGAAGTCCATATAAGGAATTACTCTTTTGATAAAACAGGTAAATGTCAATATATCCTAATTTAAGGACTAAATATTATTATGTACATAAAATGTGAAATGACATTCATTTGCTCTATCTGTTACTAACGGAGAAATCGGCGGATGCCCGACCCGTTTGCCCAGCGAATCGTTATTGGGAATTTCTTATCGTAACGTGATCACGTTTTCACAAAATAATCAACAATAAATCTATACTTCTATACTATTATAAGCGTAAACAAACAATTCTTTGTTGCCTAAGATGTCAGCAATTACAGCATATTTCTGAATAATTCTTTTTTTTATAAAATGCCCAACACTTACCTCACGCTTTAGGCTATATATTTTCACGCGATTAAACTTAGGGGGCAAATATTTTTGATAAAAACCCTAAAGTGGGAAAGTGACCATAAGTTGCTGCCAACATCAAGAAAGCAAGATTGCTAAGGTTTGTCATGTCATGTCATTTTGATATTTGCTATTGGTAAATTGACAAGTGTAAACAATATAATAAAATTTTCATAATTTTAGGCGAACGAAGTCGCACGGGAACAGCTAGTTAAATGATAAAGTCGAATGAGAACAATCTTCTAAAGCGTCAAATATTCGGGAAAGAGCTGCAACACGCATCTAGGGAGGTAGTACAACCCTTGTTTGGATTATTTCGGATAACGTTATACAGTAGAACGTCGATAAGTTAAAGTCCAAGGGAAACACAAAATATTTTAAGTAATAGAGGTTTAAAGTTATCAAGGGTCTATGTTGTAGAAGTTTTGGGCTCTGATGGGGAGGGAACATATTATTTTTTGAAGTTATAGAGATTTTTATGTTATCGAGGTTCTACTACAGCTAAATACATTTAGCGCTAGAAACATTTATTATTGAATCATTGCATGTAAGCAGAGCGCAACGATTTTATCTGTCAAACAGTCATACGAGTGATCACGAAATGCATTGTGGGCCCGCAGGTTGCGGATGCTGTTATGGCTTTGTTGTCCTCCCTCTATTAATAAGTGTGTGACATTTTCATCACAGAACTCACCGTTATATGTGCAATTTCGTTGGTCAAATTAATAACCGAGATGCTTGTATTTTAATGTAAGATTTCTTAATTTAGGAAGAGAATTTTTTCACCGAAATAGGAGAATGAGCATTTTTTAAACAACTTATCGATTGTGCTACGTAAACAAATCTATTCCATTGTGATCCTAAATACGTTCATGTCGCTATCATTTTGTCCAATTTGAACTGGATTGTACATTATTAATCCTTAAGTAGTCCTACCAGTATACGACAATAAATACCAATAATAAGTTGAACTATGAAGGATTTTGCTTAAAAACACGCATTTTTTACAACTTAACAATGCCAAATGACGTCACAGACGCCATATTTATAATTAAGCAGTAGGACCAGTTGTAGCGTGGCGTGCAAATACGCAGTGGCATGAATAGATATATATGTTTAACTATATTTAAATTGCAAATGTCCCATTATACCGTCTTATACTAGGCTTGTGAAATTCATAGCTGAGGTCATAAGATTCTATTAATTAGCTTTTAGCATCTGACATTACGGCGCTGGATTAACATTGTCGATGGTCACACGCGGCTGCCCATATTGTCTGGAGTCACAATGCCAATTGTCTTTGTTTATCATTTTCATGTATGCCCCATGGGTAATTAAACTGGTATTACTTACGTCTTTTAAATCCAAAGGATGATCCACTGCTGGGATTCCGATGGGAATATCAATTGATTGACTTTTAGATTTTATTCCCAGTTAATTATAATATTAACCGCCATAAGTATATTTATATCTATAGTAATATTATAAAGCGGAGATTTTTATTTTGTATGTATTGATATAACTCAAAAACTACTGGGCCTATTTCACAAATTCTTTCATCGCTAAAAAGCTACGTTATCAGTGAGTAACATAGTATACTTTTTATCATTTTTAATTCCACGAGGGTGAAGTTGTAACAGCTAGTCAATTAATAC